ATCTTGTTAAGAACTATGCAGTTAAAATGTAATCAACCTACTCTAAAAAATAAGTTACCTACTATTGAAGGGAAATGGCTTGTCAAGAGAGCGGTTGCCTTGGAAACAAAGTCAATTGGCAGAAATTTGATCATCTGATAAGGGACTCATCAAGAAATCAACTGACAGAGGCTCTGATAATTTACAGACGAAAGAATTTGGCAACTGGATCATCTCTATCCTTCTCATATAAGACAGATCTTAGTAGCACCTGTGAGGAACACTGTTTTCTTGAATGTACACAGACTATAAGGGCTTCCAAAAATAAGATGAGCCAGCACTGAAGTAGTGTGTTCAGTATTTTTCCCTGGTGGAAGAGTGCATAACTGAGTGACAGCAGCATTTATTCAGAAACTCTGCAGGTTTAGATGTTTACTTCCTTGTTCTTGCCATGAGCCTCTTGTTAATGGTAAACCTGCAAACCCTCAACTTCACTGATATTCCAGGGAAAAATACATTTTTAAGAACTGCGTCCCAGGGACAAAAGATTGAGCTAGTTCTCTCCAAAGAAGCTGCACACAACAGCAAGGTCTGATTCACAAACACATGTGTAGGAAACAACAGAGAAATAGTGCTTGGGCTCCTTCCTCATACTTTGGGATGTTGGACATCTGGCTACCTCTTAACTTGTAAAACAATCTGACAACGGGCCTGAATTTTAGGCCACGCTTTTCCATGCAGTTAGACCCTTACCAAGGTCCCTGTTATAGATCTGGCTCAAAAAATGTAGCACTTTCCTTGAAAAATACCTGGGCACAAAGCACAGACAAGCAGAGCTAGGGACATTCCCAGCCAATACTCCCAGTGGTAGGGAGTGGGTTAAAAATGTTTTCATTGTATTAACATAGCCCATGACACAGCAGCTGGCCACAAGGCCAGAGACTAACTCCTTTGTTTAATTTTTATTAATTATTAGTAGAGACATAGCCCTGGTGCCTCACCGATTATTTAGTTACCAGTTAAAAGGGACACATAGCCTAATATTAACAAGTTAATGCTTCTCTACAGAACTGTCTCTAACAAGCACCTTTGATCAGTGAGGAAGTAAAACTTAACTAGAAAGAAAAGAGAACATAATAATCTTTTCTGAAATGCTGAACTTGAAGACATTCCCTCCAGACACGACCCTCTCCTCCTCTTGTGGTTCTTTTAACATCTACATATTCTTACAACTTTGGGAGGCAAAACTAGAAAATACGGAAGTGAGAGAAGAACAGAGGGGTACATTAATTGAGAAAGTGCAAAAAATAAGAACATGAGGGTTAGTTTTCAAAGACTAGGAATATCAGGGAATGAGCAAAAGATAAGGGCAGCAGGTGTGGAAAAGGCCATCAGACCCATAATATCTGCAAGTGCCAAGATCTCACATGACTTTGTTCCTCCAGAGGTTATGAGCCTCTTCTGCGGCATGCATGTAAACTGAACCTGTGGACTCTCCTGGAGAACTGTGACTGTCCCATGCAAACCAGAATCTGAATGGAGTCTTACAAAGGCAGAGAGTACTCGCACGCAGACAGTGCACAGCATGCCTTGAGTGAACACTGTGGGGAAGCTGTACACGGCAGACACTAACTGGTGTCTGGAAATAAATTTGTTTTCTGCTTTTAAACAAGGAAATGAAAATTAATTAGCAACTTTATGATCCAGAAGGTAACAAGATTCTGCAGAGCATCTTTAACTTTAACTTATATGGGTCTTTTCTTGGGAAATTCTACACAACTACTTAATACCACTTCTTTGAGGTGGCCAGGAGGTAAAGACATCAGAAGGACCAAACTGGTTTCCATTAATAGAAATAGGAGGAATACTAAGCTTAACATCCAAGGACTTTATGGAGACTGACCAACAAAACACCATTCTCTCTCAGTCAGCTCCATACAAAACTTTCCAAATAGCAGAAAATATCAAATATCAGCAACATTTAAACCAGTAAAGGTAATTTGGAAGATACTTGGAAAACCACACAGCACACTGTCCTCTGAAAGTGTCAAATGCATAAACTACAATAATACTAAAATTTACACAACATGCACTTACTTACACACATTTTGTAAAAACATGAAACAGAACATTGCCTAGTTAGTCCAAAAGCTTGTCTCCAACTACCTCTTTTTAGCATACAGAAGAATACATAAAACTGGTAAGTAGACATAGGAAAAAAACTCTCCAGAAGTTGCTTCCCAATAAGAAGCCTCAGTCTGCATTCCTACCATGTGAAAGATCTCTTATCATCCATGTGCTCTTGATAAAAAATGTTTGCCTCATTGCTAACTTCTAGTAGCATTTTTCTGAAGGCAATACTTAGTTGAAGGGTGGAATTCAGTTTATTTTAAAATAAATTCCGCAGGCATTTGAGTTTATTGCCTCTCAAATTCCTTTTATTTCTTTGATGCCTTTTATTCTTAAATCAGAAAACTGTAATTACAAGCATCCAATTGCTACATATCTAATATCTGCAGAGTATTTTCTGTATAGAACCACAACTCTAATCTTCTAAGTTCCTTCCTCACAAGCAAATCTAAGCCTCTGATGATTTCATTGTTTGTCCTTAGAACCCTTTTATTTTTCAGTCTTTATGTCAATATGGTAAACAAAACCAATCATACTTAATCTAAAAGCACACAAACCATTTATGTAACAAAAAAAATGAAACACAATGAAAGTACATCTTGCTCAGTGACTTCTGAGAATAACCAAAAAGCTTCTCAGATGCCTCCAGCAAATAGAGGGTGCTGCTGGGGTGCCCTGCCTGCAGTTCTCCTTCAGTTTCTGCCTTCATGTTTTTTTACCCTGATGCATTCCCCCCTCTTGTTTTTTCTTCCATTTTTGACCAATAGTAAATTTCTCTCCAGTGTATTTTCCTTCATTCCATAACCTACAGCCCCATCAAGCTTCCTTTCCTCTAGTTAATTTAAAACCGAAAAATGCAACTCAAATTTTTACAATATTTGGGATCCTTTATATATCAACATTTTCAGGTCTTCAGACATCTAGGAGAGCAAGTTTTAATTCTCACAAGGCTCTAAAACAGCCTAAGCACAATAAGTACAAGTACAATAACTACAGTAAGTAGAAGATGCAGACTTATTCAGACTTAAGCAGATACATAAATACAAGCACTAAACATCTGACTTTACAAACATACATTATGTGCATTGGAAAGCCAGACATGATGTATCTACACCCAAAATCAAGACATTTCACTAAGTGGTAAGAACAGATTTAGAGCAATGCTAAGCAGATCCTTGGGGCCTGCTCAGGCAAGCCAGGTGTATCAAAAGGACTACTAGACACCAAGGTGTTCATTCAGTCTAGATCAGAGCTCAGTCCTCACAGTTGTGGGTAATCCTGAAATAGGTATGCCATTGAGAAAGACTGTTCTTTGAGATGTTACTGACATGTACACTCAGAGTATGACTATATCTACACTGTACTCTGGGTTTATTTTTAATGCTAACAGTATCCAGGCTGGCATGCCTTCTATTGATAAGGATCATTTCCCTGTTTAAGCAGTTGTGTATTTTCCTTTAAACCAAAGACTCCCAAATTCTATATACACCAGAAAGGGAAAAGCTGTGAGATGTGTTGTAAAAGGATATACAACCAATTCGTCTGTAAGAACAGTCACAGCTAAATAACCTTTTCCTCTTTTGAGTGCCTGCCATGAAGGAGAAGAAAGAGCTCTTGTCACAGAACCAATGAGGGTGTTACAATGCACCTTCCCTTCAGCTATTTATATACATTGAGAAAACCCTCTCCAAGCCTTCTCTTTCCCAGGCTAAATAGTCCCAGCTCTCTCAACCTCTCCTCATATGAATGGCTCCATCATCTTAGGAGCTGGACTCTCTCCAGCTGCTCCATACCACTATTGCACTGGGGAGCCCAGAACTGGACCTAGCACTCCAGGTGTAGAGGAGGTTTTCAAGACATGAACGAACAGGACTGTAGGTAATCTCATCTAGGCTCCCTTTTCCACAAAAGGTTGGATCACATGATCTTTTGTGGTCTCTTCTAACTTGAGCTTTTCTATGAACCTGGTGTCCACCAGGACTCCAAGGTAGTTTTCCACAAAGTTGGCTCCCAGCTGGATGGTCCCCAGTATATATTCCTGCCTGGGATTGTTCCTCCCCAGGTGCGGGACTTTGCACTTGCCTTTGTTAAACTCCATGAGGTTCCTGTCAATCCATTTGTCTAGCCTGTCAAGGTCCCTCTGGATAGCTACACAAACTCTCTGGCCTATCAGACATTGCTCTGTAGACATCTACATTGCTCTGTAGACTTTCGGAGGAAGTGTAAACAACATGCTAGTATTTTTGCCAAAGCAACTAGTAAATAAATTGGTTTTAGCTTTTGGCAAAATGAGAAAAATTATTATTTTGATTTATCATTTACTATCATAGAAATTTAATTTTTCCATATGCCAATTAACATTTCATTTTTCATTAATCCCTTAATTCCCATTTAAATAACCATCCAGACCTTTTACATTGCCAGAAGGACATCAGAACTAGTTTTTTGTATTGTATTTCATTGGTTGGTTTTCAGTTTTTGTTTTTAGACAAAGAATTGACCTTCACTAGCCATTTAAGAGAATGTGCTCCTATTTTGCTCAACTACCACAGATTTCTGTTTCTATGATGTCATTTCAGGGATAAACAAGATAGACAAACATGTCAAAATAAGCAATAGGTGTGCCTCCAATTAGAAAAAAAAAATAAAAAAGTGTTAACAGCTCAATTTTTAAAGATTATTTTCCTTTTAGAAAACATAACAGAGACATAGTAAATTACTTGTGCACAGCTAAAAGAAATGTAATTTAAACTATTAAACCAATTACACAAACCTCTAGTCAGTGCTGTTTCTCAACTACAAAGCTTTTCAAAAGCATATAAAAAATTGAAAACCTGATAATACAAATGTCCTGAAATTACTTCATGAATTGTAGGGGATTACATCACACATAACATTACTAAAAAAGACAAAAACAAAGAGAATCAAAACTACATCTGAGACTAACTGATATGAGAAAGGATGACTAGCAGAAAGGCAACATAATTTGAAAAAATATGTTGACAAATGGGCCAATTACACTCTGAGTCATCCTTAAGATAAGCAAATAACAGTTCCTCCTGAAACACAATCATGGGTATATAGTCCTTTGCTTATGACACCTCTAGCAATAAAGACAACATAGTACAGTATTTACATGGGCTGTTGATGAAGAACTTCATGCATGTGTTAAATAGTACGTCTTAAAAGAATAATAGATAATGATGAAAAACCTATATCCTTATCCTTTTTATTCTTCACAGTCTTTACATCTTCTGCCTAATACAGAGAATATTAGCAGTATCTATTTGTGGCAGGGTATGCTTAAGTAAGACTAATTCTAAAGGACAGCCTAATTCTAACAATAAAAAACATTTAAAATACTAGCCTAAATATATTTGAATCTGAAAACCACAGCACTTTCATCTTCCTAACCTGAATTTTGCATAAACATTCTCATTCTAAACAAAAATTCAGTCTAAATCCATTGTTGCTATAGTCCTACCTAGACTGAATTGGCATTCCTTCTTTCACCTCTTGCATGGCTCACTTTCCCCCTCTAAAATTACCATTCAGTTGGTAATAAGGACTCTCACAACTTAGATCTCCCAGATTTGGAGACCAATGGCCTTATACTGAAACTAATGACTACAGTGGAAAGACTCCCTTGGGAGCAGGCAGTAAAAATTGACCCTAAACTCCACTCTCTCTTCCACAACTGAAGAGTCCAGAGACAACAGCTATGTGTTGCTCTTTTCTTCACAAGTCTAAAAAAGGTTCTGAAAAAAATAATTCTTCATTCCTACTTTTGTCTCAGTATCCCCTAACTCTATACAGAAACAGGCACCTTCTTGGAAGGGCAGGTGTCATACTTTCTTCAGAAAACACTGTACAAAGTTCTACCTGTGAAAGCTTTCACATCACTCAGTTGTTTCCTTCTTAAATTACTGGCCTCAATAGCTATTGGATCTGAGGCAGAAACACAGAAAGACTAGTTTGGAGTAGGTAATTTCATGTGTCTATGTCTTTATGAGAACTCCAGAAGCTGTGAATATATGTAATAAGAAAAGACATCCTGAAAGAAATCTAGAGAATCTACAGCAATACCAGCTAAAGTACACAGCAAACAAATATTTACACTATGCCATTCATTTCAAAAATTCATCCAGAGCAAAAGAGAATGGATGTTCCCTTCAGGAAAGAAATCTATCTCCTCTATAGGAAACTTTTTCTTTGAGGAGAAAAGGAACAAATATATTGGGTGCTAAAATGTGCAGATGTGAAGCTAGTTTAAGCAATCAAACAGAAGTGATGCCCATTATTCACTTGTCCCCTTCTTTTATCATTTTCTATGGAAGCATTCCAAAACTCTAAAAAACAGTAGAAAGAGAAACTAGTCTAACAGAAGCGGTTGATTAATACCTCTCAATGGTTCTGTCAAGTAGCCATTTAATAAGGATTTAATGGTGATAGAAAACAGGGCATAGTATATCTATCTTCTCTTCAACACCCTCTCTTCCTTTCATAGCTATTTATAGAAATCACTTATTAAAAGAAGTATAGAGCAGGCCACTTTGGAAGCAACTGTTTGCCACCAAGCTTTTCCTCATTGAAGGCACCTATGTTTCTAAGGAGTCCTGGAATGACACCTAAGCATTCAGAATATTGAGAAATTGGAGGAGGAAAAAAAAAATGCCAGCTTGTCTCACCAGGGAAACTGTTGCTCTTCATCAGCAAATCTGCCATCATTGTTGACACTTCTGTTGAAATATATGAACGCAGGAAACATTTTAGAAGTTTCATTTCTATAGCAATCACAATAGATGGCAAGTCACAATGGTTACACGAAGATGTAAACAAAACTTAGCTTCCTTATGATTGTCAGAAATTGCTCCTTGCTTTCCTGAGGCAACATGTCAATAAATTAAATCTGCTTCAATTAATATACCTATTCTAACTAGATGGTTATGTAAAAAAAAAGACTTGCAAACAAAATGACAAATAATTCTTCCCCTCCAAAGGACGTTTTCTCTGCATTTTTTTTTCCCCCCCAGTATTGTTATAAAGTAGTAGTGATTTCATTAGCACTGTTCATTCTTTCCATCAGTCCTTGAGACAACAAAAGAATCTGAAATGGAAAATGAACAAGTCTCTTGCTGGAATAAAACAAGTCTCTTGCTCTTCCCTCCTGTTCTCTTTGAAATAAATGTAATGGCATTAGTGGCAGGAATCTGCCATGCTATTTTGTCATGCTCTACAGCTTCATCATTAACAGAAAAACAGCTTTATCAGAAAAGTTCTGTGTGGAACAGTGTGGAAAGGGGAGTATGGAGTCTCATAGACCTTCTGCTGTACAAAGTGTACTACTTCTGTAGTCCTATTGCTTAACTTCCTGCAAGGATTTTACATCACTGGGGTACAGAATTGAGGCTGTCACAACTGCTTCATATGGAGAATGACAGGCCCTCAGGTAATAGAAGTTTTCACATTCCTTTAAGCCTTTGTCCTATTATCCCTGAATATCATGTACTTTAAACAGAAAATATCTTTTAACTTCATACCAGATGCTTCAAGTACTTATAACATAGAAGCAGATGCAACCTAATCATAGCAATCATCTAGTACCCATAAACACATTATGTTGAGAAAGAATGCCCATACTCTGTTACTGCAATGACCCCTCTGTGGTACTGGAACCATTTATATACAACTCCTATCAAGACCAAACAAACTATATTGAAGGATAGGATTGTGATACCTTCCAACTGCCTTGTTGGATGAAGAATAACATCTCTGAACTCAGAAGAAGATACAGCTCAAGGTCTGCCTGTGTAATATCACACTGTGAATACTGAACCAATGTCTTTGTTGGCATTAAGTCCTGGCAAGGACTGAGAATGTATGAGAGCACTTGAGATCACCTAGAGCCACTCCATCACACAATGGCATGAACTGCTTGGGCTGATATAGATGAGGAATCTTTGTCCTTTACTAAAGGGAAAAGCATTTTGTATTATTTTTGTGCATATTTCAGCACTGTAGGTATGTCTGTTACTCTAAGCCATAGAAACACCTAAATGTTGTCAGTGATCCTTGTTGCAAGGGAATAAAGCAGCAGAGGTAGCATCTCTTAGGGAGCACTGGCAAAAATCACCTCTGTCTCAAGTACACATAAAGCATACACAACCCACAAGAGAGGGTAAAGATGCACCACGCAAAAATACAGATCTTGCATTTAACACAGAGAGAGGGAGAAATATTATGTTACTCTTCTATTTTGGAGAAAAACTAGTCCGAACAAGATTGGAAACTGCTTTGTTTGTATTATCTTAAGGCTGGTAATTTGAGATCTTACTTAAGTGATGGGTGAGATTCAACTACCTCTAGTATTATTCTCCCTAGTTCAAACATAGACGTGACAGGCTACATGGATTAATATTGCATCTTTCATGGCTAAAACCATCAGTAGCCTGGCTATAATGTTAAAGAGTCAGAAGAGTAAAGAACAGGTCATAAAGAAATTAAACCAGCAGAGCTTATGCAAAATGAATCGTGACAACCTATTCCTCAGATATGCACAATGATATTTGAAGAATATAACATTGAAAATACATCATTTTCCCATTTCCACTTTAAATTTTTCTAAAACTTGTCTTATACAAAGAAACTGAACTGAAAATGTCTAATATGATTTCATGTTGCAACAAGCAATATTTTTGGTAATAGGCTTTTTTTGCCTGTTCCTAAGAATATTTCAGTAAAGAAGCCATTGAGTCTCAAAAATTATCAAGGTAATCAAGGTAAATCATGGCATTTTGTGGTTCAGGCTACCAGAAAACTCAATGATTATGCTACACAATGTCATACGAATGGGTGATTGTGAAAAGCACCAGTAACAAGAACCTAAAATCAAAAACTTGGAGAGCTCTCAAGCTTATAAAGGAGAAGCATATAATTTTCAACAGAAAGAAATTATGTATAATGAGTTAACTGTTCAATCATTCCTGCAAGCTTTAAAATTACAATTGAGAAGGAAGGTCATTCTTTCCAATTAGTAAAAGTATCAACTGACTCTTTCTTATTAGAGACATTTGAATACCATTAAATAACTACCCATTTCAACTGCAACACTAAAGTACTTCATACCTCTACTAAATAGAAGTCAATTTACAGTAGCTTATGTAGTATGATAATTCATACAGTCTTTACTTAAAAAGTCTTTTGGGTGACTGATTTTAATGGGAGAAAACGATTTTGCAATGAAGCCTTCTCCTTTGGGCTTTACTTTCCTTCACCCACATTTTTTAGTGCTGGGTATATTTGCTTGTTTTTTCTCCCTCCAGAATCATTAAACTTCTTCGTTCCTACAAGTCTCCAGTCTTTCAGAATCTGTCTCTTCTTTTTTTAAATCCTGTTATCAGTTTAATATAAAAGAAGAGTGCTGTGATGGCTCTGTAACAGCCTTGATAGACAGCATTCTCTGAACTATTCAGTATTATCACCAAGTTAGTAAATTAAAGGCATTTCATTTTATAAAATAAAAAACCTACCCCTTAATATCAAAGGTTTAAGAATATCCAGGGAAATATTTTTTTCCTAAGCATTAAGAAATGCTAGAAAGAAGATATCTACTGGCAAACATTGACATTTAATAGTGACCACGTGTTTATAGGATGTATTTTGAAAATAAACTATTATTCATTCTCTGTTGTAGAGATTGTCAGATCTGTCAATGTTATAACAAGCCAGTTCTTAGTTCAAATACTAATGCAGCAACTGATACACCTACTGAACATAGTGCCATGGACTATTCCTCCCTGTGCAAGAATTCAGATCAGAATCAAAAGGAAAAAAAAAAACATAATTATGAATTAAAGAATGGATGTAATAATCTAGGTTCAGTAAAAACAGACTGTATGCACATAGATCATTGATCTCTTACAGCTGTTTGATCATTGAAAAGAAGTTAACTAAAAAAAAAGTTCAAAGCCACAAAAAAGTCTGCTTCTATAGCTAGTAGTTTAAGCCTGGTTTTTGTGTATGATCACATATTTCCCCAAGATCAGAACTGAAAACATGGTTCTGCTCATCTGTGGAGCTAAGGGAAGTATGTATAGCACCTTAAAACAACAGGCTTGAACTGTAAATTCAGGCACATTGAATTTGAATATTCTAGATGCAATTATAAGAAGCCTTACCTTTTAAATGTTAATGATCAAACAAAATTCCAGTTACTCTTATCAAGCAACTTCCTACCAACTATTCTGGGCCAATATACTAGTCTTTTGAGTGTACAAACTTCAAAAGAACAGAAGGCTAAAGATTATTTTTTTTCCTGCTAACCTAAACATAGCTTTGTTCTAATGCATAAATAATGCTACCTCTAAATTCCATCAATGTTAAGCATTTTGATACTTGCAAAACTGAGTATCTAGGAAGAGGGTTGAGTGGCAGGCACACGTTACCATACTCGAGCAATACTGACCTTTCTCCTCTCGGCTGAAACAAAAATTTTCCTGCTGGCCCTTTCAGAAAGCCTTCCCTCTCTGATCTGCTGATACACTCATTACAAATTAATTGTCTACTTTCATCATTAAATGGTGTGTATGACCTTCGGTCCGCTAAGCAGTTATTATTATTTCTGCAAAGATTATTCATCATAGCTGGATCTTCAGAATCTAGCTTCTCTTCATCTGAAACAGCCAAAAAGAATACATTTTGCAGCAGCGTTTTCACACAACAAGTACACACAACAGCTCAAAATTAATTACTGCTTGTCTTGTTACATTATTAAAATTTGCTTCTATCAATTTAAAAGGTGAGAAAGCGTAAGACTATTTAGAGCAAAGTAGCCAAAGTTCTTAAGAACATAATTTCTTAAAGTCTTTCAGTTTTGCGTTTTAACATTTTAATCTTTCACTTTCTTTTTTTTAAATTACACTTTTAAAGATAGGTGGAATGTACCTTGTGAAAAAAGTTATTATATTTCAGGATCTGAGTATTATGAAGGAACCCAAGAAAAAGGTAGCTGTTAGTCCTGTAGCTTAGTATATCCTGTTGGTAAGAACCTGCACAAAAAACTTATGTAAATGTTTGTATGAGCTCCAAAGGGGAGAAGAGGAAAACTCAGGCTACAACTACATTAGGTTCTCAACTTCTCCAATTAGTAACAACTAATTATGGATTAAACTACATACAGGGGTACATGATATAAATATACATTTATAGAATATGTACGTAATAATGAAGTAAAGTTTAGTACTTTTTGTATAAGTCTTCCTATGCAGTAAGGTAAAAAAGATATCCAGTTTATCATGCAAAGTAACAACCCCAGGCAATGTAAGAGGTGTCATTATTGCAAATTAGTCTTCATTAAAGACAGAGTTCCAGCACATTTTATTATGAGCCAATGTGCAGGAAACTAAGATGTCAAGTCATTTCCCATCTGCAAGAAAATTACTTTTAAATCCCACATTTAGCGACCTTTATTAAATCTCCACTAATGAAACTCTTTACAATAAATACAATGTAGTTGGAGGCCTGTCAAGACATATCATTCCTTTTTACTCCTCCTTTTGTGCTCAATAATCCATCAGGGAATCTCCTTAGATGATGCCACCTCATTAGCTCTTTAAACATTTCATCATTTAACGTTAGTTTTACCCATTGAAAAAAACTTTCAGTAAAAACTCCGTCACTTAGAAATCTATAAGAAATAAAGGCACTTGAGAAGCTTTCAACTCACTTTCAGAAATGAAAGCCAGTATCATTTTTGGAAATCATATTTTCAAAGCTTCCTTAAAGCCATTTAAGTATTTTAAAATTTGACTCTGAAAGGACATGCAGGTCTTTTAATATAATATATTATAATAATTCTTGTAATTAACAATATTAAAACCCATCAAGCAGTTAGTTTGTCAAGAAATAATATGTATCTAAACATTCTTACTCTGATGAGGAAGAACTGTTTTAGCAGAAAGGAAATTTTCCTGAGAAGTTCTTTTAAATAAGCATGCCCGAGCACTGCTGACTTTTCTAACCCCTGGAGCATCAGCAGGAGGTTTTGGAAGGGAAACAGAGGAAGATTCATCTTTTGCAAAAGGGGTTAGTACTGGTTTCTGTGACAAAGATAAAGATGATATTTTAATAAAAGCACAGATAATTTCATTTTCATACATGCAAAAATTAAAAAAAATAAACCTAAATGATTTAGACAAAGTGTTAAGTTCAGAATAAAACTTAACAGTTATATAGGTTTAATAATTAAGAAATTTCTATTTTCATATCCAGAATCTAATACCATTCCATTGAACAAGTCAGGTACCCATACCATTATCACCAGAGAAAGCCACTTAAAAGCAAACATTCAGGGATGTAGAAAACCAAAAACTCACCTTAGTACAGCAGCTGAAACTCAGAAGTACTTATTTTCCACGTAAACACTGATTTAACATCATCTTTACTATGTTTTGTAAAAAAAAAAAAAAGCAACCAACCAACCAAAAAAAAAAACCACCAAACAAACACAACTCACTATTGTGCCAGACTTACACTAACAATTCTAGAGGTACATCTACTTTTCATGATTTGTTTTTGAGCACTAAAGTAGTATTTCCAAAACACTTCAGATGTGTTTGTATTGTATGCCCTTCCTATCACACCAATACAAACCATGCAGATCCAGAAACATGCAAGTTATAGTTTTATTTATGTCAGCATCTTTCATCCTGGAGGATGTGACCAACCCCTTGAACCTCTGGTACAAAACACTTGTTGTGCCCTACATAAACACATTGCCCTCTGAGATCAAGGTTCTCTACCAGTTTCTTTACAATAAAGAATCCATCAGAGTGGCACCAGCCCAACGCTTCATAGCTCTCTCTGACATTAGCTGAAGCCAGCCAGCAGGTGAGACCCACTGCCCACAGCCACCATGACTAACCCAACCTCTACATTTACAGTACACTAACTTACCTCTACTGGTAAAGCAGAGAAGGCAGGTTTTGCATTGGTCCTAACAGGAATTTTCTCTAGTTTTTTACCCCCACTCTCACACACAAGATAAATGAAAACATTACACCAGTATTTAAATCCCACTGTAGACATACTTAATCTAAATGTAAGTACAGTCAGAATTTTTAAAATTGATTCACATAACTACATTACCTTATCAAAACTACTGAAGTATAACATTTCTTGGCAATTTTTCCCCCTAGTTTCCTAAATGTAGTAGCATTCTTTAGATTACTGTCTTGAAGAAACAATATATATAGCAAGCATACTAAACTGTTGTAGTATGCTCTGTTCTTTCAGATACTAAAAATGATCATGACTTTTATTTAAAGATTAAATATTTTTTAAAAAAAAGAGTAGACACACTTACAAATTGAAAACAATTCAAGATTTTCACAGAGGGGGAAAAAGGGGTTCTTACATGCACCTGCATCTGTTTTTTAAATAAACTACTATAATTACTCATTATAGATGTGCAATTCAAATAGAAAGCATAATCAACCTAGTTAATTTAAATTTACTGATCACAGAACCACAGATTAATTGAGGTTGGAAAGCATCTCTGAAGGTCATCCTGCCCAACTCCCCTGCTCAAGCAGGGCCACCTAGTGCCTGCTGCTCAGGATCATGTCCAGGGAGCTTCTGAAGATCTCTGGGCAACCTGTACCAGGGCTTCAACACCCTCACAGAGGCAAGTGTGTTTTCTGAAGTTCAGAGGGAACCTCCTGTGTTTCAGTTTGTGCCCACTTCCATTGGTCCCGCCATGGAAAAGAGCTTGGCTCCATCCTCTTTGTGCCCTTCCTTTGGGTATTTGTATACATGGGTAAGATCCACCCTGAGCCTTTTCCTCTCTAGGCTGAATGGTCCCAGCTCTCCCAGCCTTGCTCCAGCCCCTTCATCATCTTTGTGGCCCTTCATTGGACTCTCTCCGGCTGCTCCATGTCTCTCTTGTAGTGGGGAGCCCAAAACTGGACACAGTACTCCCGGTGTGGACTTAGGAGTGCTGACTAGAGGGGAAGGGTCACCCCTCTCAACCTGCTGGCAAAGCTCCTCCTAATGCGGCCCGGGATACCACCAGTCACCTTCTTAGCAGCAAGGGCACGTTATTGGCTCATGTTGACAGTCATGACCTTTTCCTACTTTAATCTTACACTAGAAAGCTGACTCTAGTATCCATCTTGCTGATTGCTGTTAATGTCACTTAGAATTTTATTGCAATACAGCAATATTTAAATAGTTTAAATTATTTTTAGGTTTCTTCTGAGGAAAAAAATGACAAAACTGCATTTATAAGTCCCAGACTAACATTACAACAGGTTTCCACTTCTCCCTAGCCCATTTAAACCATATATTTTCTTAACACTGCCAATACACATATTGCATGAATTATTTCCAGAGTACTCACATGATCCAGTGGGCTAAGACGAACTCCAGACACTGGTCTTGATTCAGCCAAATCAAAACTGGATGTGTGAAGACTAGCATAAAGAAATTAAACACAATATGAATAAAGCAAAATAAATAAAAGGAGGAAGAAAAGATGAGTGACACAGCACTTTTACACTATCACTCTTCTTCCATGAATGCTATTTAACTTTGGTATCTGGGAATCCAGCAGCAACAAGACAAGAGAATTACAAGATCACCTGCACACCTGCCATGACAGTTTATCTCACACACATCTATAACAATTCTCTAATGTAAGCCTAAATTCATGCACAAACCCAACTGTGGTTAGAGCCCAAGCTATCTGACAGAAGCTGCAGAACACTGTAGGGCAGAAAACACATATTTGTGCAGACATGAATATGCTCCTCCCCATACACAGGAGAAGCGCAGACAGAACAAGCATGGACATCAGCTAGAGGGGACCTCACTACCTGGTCACCAACAAACAGCCAAGTTACAGAATCAGCATATAGGAAGAGCTAAAAAATGGCTGGGAAAATGGATAATAAAAGCCCAACACATTATTTTTTCTTCCTCTTTGTCACAAGAGACATATCTATTGAGCTCTATGAATTATAGTATGTTACAAAACTCCACACAAATAATTCTGAAGAGGTATAAATTTGGTTTAAAAAATAAGCATTTCAAACTTCAAGACCTACAATTTTATATTTGACAAGATCTGAGCAAGCTCTGAAAGCAGATCTAGCATACAGTTTATGTGGAAATAAGCAAACTTTCACAGTTTCTAAGGAAAAGCTGCAGACTATTTCAATTAAAAGCATATGTTGTCTTATGAAAAAGGTGACTTACAGACCATTTTCCTATACTATTCTCCACATACAAAATTGATGTGTAATGATTACCTCTGGTAGCTATAATCCACAGGAACTTCCTGGACATGTAGACTAACATCAACAGTAAAGATCATTAGAAGAAGGCAAATGATGTGATTAGGAATACAGATTATCACAGGAGAAAAAAAAAAAAAAAAAAAAAAAAAAAAACACCTCACCAGAAACAATTACAGAATCAAATCTCTTTCTGCTAAAAGATATTTGAAAAAAATCTTAACGCCACAGTACCTAAAAACTGAAGGGGGTCTATTTTGTGGAGCTCGTGAGGATCCAGATCCAAAAAGTTTTCTTTGATCCTCTGTAGGTGTAAATGGTCTCCGGGTTCTTAGTGTTCGAAGAGCATTTCTGGCTTCATTTACAATCTCCGAACTGGTCTTCTGCTTTGTCACTGAAAACCTGTAGAATGGTTCTGCCTTTTCTGTGTTTTTATTCCTTGAAGCTTGCATTCCTCTGCAAAGGAGTGCACAGGAAGAACATTGTACAATACATATGGAAGGCACAGAAGAGAAGACCATTCTTAAACTACAAACTATTCATCAATGGTTATGCTACCACAATGTAGTAAAAAAGGATATTACAACAAAATCCCCAGCAGCATGGAAGTAGTGGAAAAGAAGACTCACCAATACTGCATTTCTGCTCCTCAGTTCTGCAGAAAAATACTGAAGACAGCAGAAAGCATCAAACACGAAGGACCCTTCATTTTTTATAAGGAACTAAAATACACCACAGTATTTTACTGCAGTACCACAGTGCTTTCTGGGACAAATGTGGTACTCTCCAATACTACAGAAAATCTGGTTTTTTATATGTGATTACTTATAAAACATTATAGCCAAAACAGAAATTCAACAATATGCATCGAAGAGACATTTTCTTTCCCATTAAGTTAGGAAATATTCAATATGAGTTATCAACCTTAGCAAGGGCAGCTTCCTACTAAATCAGAGGTGTTACTATCAGTAACTGACACACAGTTATCAGCAATTGACAAGCAGAGACAAGGAAGAACAAGCAATACTTTGTTTTCTGAGAGAAAACCCACCAACAAGCACATGCGAACAAAGACAACACTAATATAAGAAATTATCAACCCAAATTTTCAATCAGTGTTCTGTCCTGCTGCATCTTCTGGCAAATGCAGTGGGTAGTGAAAGACTAGCTTATCTCTCCAGCCCTGTAAAATCAATCACTGTCCTGGTGCAGTTCTCTGTAGACATCATCCTTGTCATTTTACAGCAAACTCATCATGAGCCTTCAACCATCCAAAATTCCTTTTCTGCTTTTCAAGCTTAACTAAAAAGAAAAATATGTTTCTGCACTGGCTGTGACTCAGATCATCTGATAACTCTATTCTCTCGCATAGTTTTTTGACAATGAACTGACAGTGGATCAGACACCACCATCTCAGTTACTTTTAAACTATAAAGAAAAAAAAATCCTATTTCTCTACTTTCTTAGTTCACTTCTTCCTGTTCCATATTTTTACATTTCCAACTGCCTCTTCTGTTCTTTCTTTGAAAGTCTGTACATTCTGCCACAGTTCTTTTAATTAAGACAGAACCCAACTCCTTCAGCTGAACTACATGTGACAAAATTTGATGCTAAGGAGAAATGCACCAACCTCTTTCACTACAGATGCATGCTTTCAAACCTCAGGAACCAATCAGAAGCCTGAGCCTTTCAGTGTTTTTAATCTTTCCAACTACCATTAATACATTACTTTTCTTCACTGTGACTGAGTTTGGCTCTCTGTGCTCCCTACTCCTTCCTCTATTACAATATGATTGAAAAAATAAGGAATTTCATTGCAGCAATTGGAGCCATTCCTCACTGAGAAGGGAAAGCAGATTATTGCTCCCTACTCTCCCAGCTACTGGGAGTCAAGATTTTGATCTTTAAGTGGAACATCTTCTACACAGGCCGTATATGTCTGATATAGTTATTATCCAGCACATGTGGAAACAACAGCTGTAAATAAATACTAAAACACAGAATCACACAATGGTTTGGGTTGGAAGGGACCTTAAAAATAGGTTCCAATTCCACTGCCACATGCAGGGACACCTCCCACTAAACCAGGCTGCTCAAAGCCCCATCCAACCTGGTTTTAAACACCTCCAGTGATGGAATATCCACAACTTCTCTGGGCAACCTGCTGCAGTGTCTCACCTCATAGCAACGAACTTCCTTAGAGCTAATCTCTTTCAGTTTGAACCCATTACCCCTTGTCTTATCACTACAAGTCCTTTTAAAAAGTCCCTCTCCAGCTTTCTTGCAGTCCCCTTCAGATACTGGAAGATACCAATTAGGTGTCCCTGGAACCTTTTCTTCTCCAGGCTGAACAACCCCAACTCTCTTAGCATGTCCTTGTAGGAGAGGTGCTCCAGCCCTCTGACACATCTTCATGGCCCTCCTCTGGCCCCGCTCCAACAGGTCCATGTCCTTCCTGTGCTGGGGGATCCAGAGCTGGACGCGGGACTCCCTCCAGATTGGGTCTCACGAGAAAGGAGTAGAAGGGCAGAATCACCTCCCTTGACCTGCTGGACACACTTCTTCTGATGCAGCCCAGAATACAGTTGGCTTTCTGGGCTGCACTCATACATTGTTGGATCATGTTCAGCTTTTCACCAACCAATATTCCCAAGTCATTCTCCTCAGGGTTCCTCTCAATCCACTCATTGCCCAGCCTGTATCTGTGCTTGGGATTGCCTCAACCCAGCTGCAGGACCTCAAACTTGGACTTGTTGAACTTCATGAGGTTGGCATGGGTCCACCTCAGACATCACTCTGGGTGCCCCCCCCTCCTCTACAGTGTGTTGACCACACCACACAGCTTGGTGTCATTGGCAAACCTGCTGAGGGTGCACTCAATTCCACTGTCTATGTCACCAACAAAGATGTCAAGCAGCATCAGTCCCAGTACCAATCCACTCGTCACTGGTCTCCACTTGGACACTGAGCCATTGAGCACAACTCATTGAGTGCAACCATCCAGCCAATTCCTTATCCACCGAGAGGTGCATCTATCAAATCCACGTCTTTCCAGTTTAGAGACCAGAATGTTGTGCAGGACAGTATTGAATACTTTGCACAAGTCTAGGTGGATGACATCAGTTCCTCTTCCACCACGTTGACTCCACTAATCAACATGATTCTACAAATCAGATATCTGAATTAATTCACATTTCTTCTTTTCTGGTCTATATATTTCCATCCACCTTGCAAAATTTTAAAATAAGTTCTCAAGTAATTCAATATCTTACATGTAATCTCTGAAAGACACTGTTTTCTTTAGTTCTCAAAATCTGTGCTCTGACATGGAAATGTATATTTTATGGAGTTTATGTATATGTCATAGTTAAACTAGGAAACAACCTGAGAGATATGATAATGTGTTTCTGTAGAACAGCATCATCTCTGAAACAATCAATCAGCTTAAAGTTTTGTTAATTCTACTGTCAATTGCAAATTTTCTATCCTGGAAGTCTATTTATTTGCCACAGTTCAGACAAAGCTTACATTATAACTTTTTGTTGACAATTCCACCTCTTACCTATATCTTCTTAACTGGCAAAGGAATTTTTTACTGAAGTCCTACTATTTGGGCACTGTTACTCACCCTTCCAATCCATTACAACCAAAGTTTTAATAATTAAGGTTGCAAAGGGAACCTAATGGCTTAGTTTGAAGGCTTGACTGCTGTATTGCCACTTTAATGGAGTCAGGGAGAGCATGGCCTCACTCTGCTGTTGCTGGAGCTGCAGGGCATCAACGCTCCATCATTTGGGTGGAAAGTAGTATTATACATGTTCAGAACTCTGGGAGTGATACAGTACCAATCTCCTAACTCATATTTCACCATTATTAGCCAGAACATGTAACAGAACAGAGAAAGAAGTTAGCAGTGTCACAAAATAGGATATGTGTGTGCATGTATATACATACAGATATGATAGGATAAAAAAAGCTTACTCTTTCTTGCAAGCATTTAAAAAACACAACTAATTCTTTATCTGAATGAGTTTGGCTGCTGTGCCATCACAGTACAACCAACACCTCTTTCTCAAAAGACAAAGATGATCTGTATTTTATAATGTGTAAGGCTGAAACATCTAAGCATCAAGCAACTGCTCAGCTGCAGCAGCACTCAGGAGCTTCATCTGCTTTCCAGCGTCCCACACCCTGGAAGCTTTGAGGAAGCACCTTCAGCTATATTAAGTTAGTTCTCTTCCCAGAAAACTACTGCCTAGATCTGTGCAAAAGGGAAAAACCCTCCAGTCACTGGAAGCTTTCTCAACTTTGATGGATACAAAGTACCCAAATTAGTCTTTGGCATTGTGATTGAATAATTTAAAACAAGGTGCTACAGATGAGTGCAATTAGCAGAAAGAGGAATTATAGGATGAACGAGCAGCTCAGGAGTGGAAGGGAAATCACTGCACTGGTTGCCCAGAGTACAATCTGGTTTTACCCTTGGTTTTCATTTTTTATACAAAATTAATTCTGCTTGGGTTTGTATTTATTTCTAAGATTTTTTTTCCCCCAACAAATTCTCCTCTATACACTTTTTAAAATAAAGCACCTTTGTTGCAAATGAATAATTCTAATTATTAGTACTTCTTTCTGAAAATCCAGCAGTGTTCCCATTTTCCTCCCCAGTCCCAGCAGATAAAGGGAATGTTGCAGTGTCAAAGGGGAAACAGCATAACTGGTACACACAGATCTTGTCCCCCACTGCTGTCACCACTTCCCAGGTAGCCTTTAAATAGGACAGATGAAGAGCTCATCTCTGACTCTACTGGAAGGCAGAAGAGTAATACACCAGTGTCTGAAAAACAATACTTGAACTCTTGTCCTTTTTCCCATTGTTTACTTCAAAGGTCTGGTCTTTGCTGTGCAGGAAGAAGTGAGAGCAGTAAATAGTGGTGCAGGATCAGGGAACCCTAGATTGGTCCTGGCTATCTCCAGAACCACAGTAGATGCTCCCTGCAGCACTTATCCTGGGTCAATCAGCACATGAGGGAAGTATGGCTGACTACATCAGATGCAGCACCACACTGACTCGCCCATCCTACCTCCCATCCCAAAACCAAAGTCATTTAGTTGCTAGCATACAGAGCAGGTATACACGTCATCACCAAGTACAGTGAGGACAAAGCCTGTACTCAAGCAGTGAATACTCTGCTCACTGACATCTGAATCTGAGTCTGCCCAAGCACATCTCTAGAATAGTTAGCAACCAAATACAGGTTTAGTAAGAGTGAACTAACAATGCTTATTATTAGATACATTTTTAAACATCGATAACTTATCAATCACAACTGAAACACTTCCAGCTTGGTGACATTTTGAAGGAGAGAAATCGCTATAAAAAAAAAAAAACAAGAGGAAAAAAAAAAAAAAAAGAGACTAAAGCTATGACAAGTCATGCCTACAACCCTCA